AGAAGATGAATCCTCACAAACGTTTCGAAGAGTCAAAATCAGAACGTGTCGCCAACAGCTGCACCCGGTTCATGACGGATTACACGGGTCGCCACGAGAGCACAGTGGGTAAAACAAAGCTTTTCTCTCAAACCAAGCGTTGAATCTGAACATGGGAGTAATATAATAATAATCAGCTGTAAGTAAACAGCTCTGCAGAGCAGCTCGGCGCCGCTCACGCTGGTGATTGATGGCTTCCCATTAGCAGGCCCGTTATCGCTCCGGCTGGGGAGAACGACCACTGAGTTGTAACGCAGCGCATCACCTCAGTGTCTCTGAAGCTGCAGCCGAGAGGCTTCAATAAAACGCAGTCCCCATCAGGCCGAGTTTGTGAAGCATTCCCGCTCAATAAGCACGTGCTGCAGATATCGGCTCCGACTGTAAATGTTTGATTGTAACAGCCATTAAATCCTTGGTGTTGCAATCAAACATCTCCTGAAGCACCAAATCAAATCACCCCAAAGACTCGATTTGCAGCTCCACCTCTCGTTCCGAGAGTCCATCTCTTCCAGTAACGCCTCGTTTTATATCGTTTCTAAATCCTTCTGCAGATTATTTAGTGGCACAGATGTCTCAGATTTGTTGTTCCCCTTCATGGAGTGAAAACGGGGATTAGAAATACCTTTCATCCAATCGTCCTTGTTCTGAGTGCAACAACTTGAAAAATACGTGAAGTAGCAACTTCCATTTTGGTGCGTGGCTGCCTTTGGACCAAGAAAGCTTTCTTGCAAAAAGTGGGTTGAAAAGTCAAAATCCAAGATGGACACCACCACAGAAATGGACCCAAGGTACATGAAGCTCTCCACGAATTCCAGATTATTTCCATGTGTGATAATATTCACAGGACTGCCCTGATGTTGATCTTTCTCTGACTGATAGTCCAAACTCTTTGCAGGCGTAGGAAGGCCGTCTACAGTGTGATGCTGAAGTGGATCCTTCTTCATACAACAAATGATCGTTAAACAATAGAAAACTGGACTCCGACGTGACAGAAAATTATTAAAGCAAAAATATAAATATAAAAATACCAACCTGAATAGTCTTGTGGCCTTTCAAAAAAAATTCAGACAAATTTCATTTCTTATATACCTTCTTCGTAAGGTGGCTGACAGACCGCAAACGAGCCGCAAACAGCTAAATACACAGCAAACAGTTCAAACCTGCTGCACACACATGAATGTTGCACATTTCAAAACACAAATACTAATTGGGAGGGACTCCGTATCTTGTCGTTGGGGGCAACCGATTTTCTGCAGCAGCCTGAAGAGTCGGCTTCGGTTGACGAGGTCAAACGCCTTTGTATCAATGAAGGTGGCAGAGCGGCACCACAGTGGGGATGACCCTCAGCTACTACCACCGTTTACACACGCCGATTGCTGTAAAATCTCTGAAGCAGTTTTGTGTTGCCAAATCAGTGGTGGGCAAAGTTCCGTTAGTAGTGGAATAATTGTTTTGTCTAGTGGATTAAAGTTTTTGCTAAGTTTGGAGACCGTTAGCAAAATTAGCTTCCACTCATTTTAGTACCCGTTTAGTGCTTTAGCGTTAGCAAAGCTAATAGTTTTAGTTAGCAGAATACGGGTTAGCAAAGCTAATAGTTTTAGTTAGCAGAATACGGGTTAGCAAAGCTAATAGTTTTAGTTAGCAGAATACGGGTTAGCAAAGCTAACTTTGTAGTGAGCTGTGTTGACCATTGGCCCGTGTAAATAAGCTGAGGTGGCCATTTTGAATGTGATCAACACAACAGACAGTCAAAGGCCATTTAATCATGCCTGTCCAGATAGTAATTATATTATTGTCTTTATAATAAACTTATACAGTGCTCTTCTGTCTCATCAAGACACTGAAAGCTCTTTACAACAATCTGTGCCTCATTTATCCGTACAGCTCTATACTAGATCTGCAGAGAGAATAATCAGATGTATCACATTCATGCACTGATGGGACACACATCGGAGGCACTGAGGGTTCAGGGTCTTGCCCAGGGACACTTCAACATGTGACTGCTGCTGGTTTCGAACCCCCAACTCTTGCATTGGAGGACGCCTGCTCTAACCACTGAGCCACAGCCGCCCTGTCAATAATAATAATAATAATCAATAATTACATGATGAAATAGAAGTTAATAGGTGAAGGTTAGCACTGTCGCCTCACAGGAAGTTCCTAAGAGAACCTGGAACTTCCTGAGAGGCGGTTACACGTTTTCTCCAGGTGTCCCTGTGATGGACTGGAGACCTGTCCAGGGTGTCCTTCTGGAGACAAGACACCAGCACTCCACCACCCAGAAAGAAGTGGGTAAAGAAGATAAAGGATGGATGCACAGCTCAGGTCCTCTGCAGGAGCCCTGGGAGTTATTCTGAAGTGTCCGTGAGGTATCGGTCCGTCCAAGTGTCCAAGTGTCCATGTGTCCAAGTGTCCATGAGTAATGACACACACACACCAGCAGAGCTTCTGGCTACCATTTTGTTTCCTCCAGAGTAAACGTGTAGGAGCGCCCAAGCTTACCTCCTGACCCTCGTTCTGTGAGGAGATAATTACTTGTCAGGGATAAATAGAGAGATTAATGAATTCATTAGTGGTGGGAAGTTTAGCTGTTCGGAGCAGCACGTACTGCTATGACACATTGCGCCTATTGTTTTACCAGCTAGTTAGCCTGGAGCAATAACATTCACACAGCAGACTGCCTCCTGCACGCAGGTAAACCACGCAGAAAGTGTGGCCTTACCCTGGAACTCATCAGCAACCCAAACAAAGGCTCTTTAAATCCCAATCCTTCATCTTAATTACTTTTGTAAAAGCCTGTGTCCTTGTTAGCTGAAACGAGACAAGACACATTCATCTCCATTAGCAGACTCCGGACCGCTGAACGTGGGGTTCGGCGTGGCACTAAGAGTCTGCGTGCCGTACCTGTGCTTCTGAATTTGCTGCGACTATAAATGAGCTTTGGAGTAAAACAAAGTGAGCTGCACATCTGTTCCTTACACATCTGCTCAGTCTGAGGACCACTGGACTCCGACAGAATCTGTAACCAACAGAAGGTTCCTGGAACCCGGCTCTGGTTACGTAGGACCATTTCCAGTAAGTCCCCCGTCACCGAGGAATTTGAAGAGTGGATGTTTTGTAGTTTTGGAGTGTTTTTCTGAACTGGACCTGAACAGGGTGCAAGTAAACCTGAATGTTTTGATGTGAGCTGCACTGTGAGAAGAACACAAGGGTTCTTCATCCACCATCAGGTGCAACGGTCGAGTCAGGGGGTGGCCAGAGGTGGCCTTGACTGACAGATGAACCTTCGGCCACCCCCAATCATTTGAGGAAACTATAGCAGTATAAAAAAGAGAAAGCAGTTTCCTCAAATAACAGGCCAGTTTACATGTGGCGGCAGCCATCTTGGATTCTGACTTGACGTCATTGTTGATATCGACCTTTTTCTAAGTTGCAGCCAGAGCCTGCACCAACATGGACGTCAGTTCCACACTTTTTATCAAGTCGTGCTCCTCACAACACGGACAGAAATTTATGATATTTATGGCAGCAGCCATTTTGGATTCCTTCGCTATAGGAACCTTTCTTACACCTTGATGTAGCCACACATTACTACGGAAGTTGCCTGCAGAAAATGTTTAAAGAACGTGACTGGATGATTATATTCATGAGTTAAAAAGTTTCTTGCTCAACTGCAAAGTAGTTTACAGAAACTAAACTGAACATATTTCATATCCGTACAACGAATATTTAAAACACTTCGACTGCAACATTTCATACGTGCTGATTTGTCAGGGCCTTCTCTGACGGCATAGAAGGCCCTGAGGGTTTCCAACGGCTCAAGTATCTAAAAGTCTTTTTAACAGTTGGGAAGTGTAAACTAAGTAACAACAAACACGCTGACCCAAAACTCATGTCTTTATTACACAGTTCTTTATTTAATGGAACCAGAACCGCTTGTCCAGTCTAAGCTGGAGTCCGGTCCTCTGGACGGACTCTTCCTGTTGAAACGTTTCGTCTTTTATCCAGAAGACTCGGTCGTGAGCTCATTACAAGCAGCTTCTCATAGTGGGTCAAGCATCAGGACATCCACTCGTTTCAAAGTTTTGTTGAGAGTTTAGGAAAGCACTTCTTCTCAAACATTCACGAAGGTTTCCTAAAACACAACACTTTGGATTGTTCTAAACTGTGCAGCTGGCCCACGTGACCACAGGCGGATTAGAAAGAGACCGACACAGCTGAACGTCCACGCGGCTTCAGAACCAGAGACGAGCAGGTTCTGTTGGTCCCGACTGGTTGTGACACTAAGCAGCTGTGCATCATCGTGTTCCGATCGATCGGACGCTTTACCACCCCCCCGTTCAGCGTGCTCAGTGAACATTGTGAAGATATAATCTGAGCTGGAACTAATGTTTACACCAACGTTGTGCTGGGTGTGTTTTCAGGACGGTCTTCATAGTTTCTGAGCGTAACTGGAGCTGGAGTCAAGTTTTAGTCTCGATGGAAACGAGCAGCTCAGGTGAGTTTACAAATGATTCAAGCGCTCCGATAGAAATAACTTTTATTTCCTGTCAAAACCTTGAAGTTTTTATTTGTGTCCTTTGCAGACGCGTCTCCGGGCAGGTCGCTGACTGCAGAAGACCTCCGTGTTTACAGCAGCACCCACACAGAAGCCAAACAGAGACGGGAGCTGCGCCACACATCGAGATGTTCCAAGTCTTCAGTCAGCTGAGATGTGCTCTGAATCACAAACTACATCCAGGACACGAAAGGTTCTGGCCTGATAACAGATTAGCATCACAGCTAATCCCGCTCCTCAAATAAACGTCACCAAAGAGGAAGAATTACACAACAAACTCTGCAGTCGTGGTCCACATCTGTGAAGAAAGGCTCCTCAGGAACCCATGAGAAATACTGTCCACGATGGCCGAAGGCAGCCAGGGCGGTGTTGGACCGTGAGGTCTGACGGAGTCCAGACACCCTCAGTCCTGATGGCTCTTGTCCTGCAGGACTTTGTACTCGTACTGAAAGGAACAAAGACATAAAATGTGTTAAAGCAGCAGCACGGAGCGCGTTGGATCGGACCGTAAACCATCGCTACGACTCGTGGAAGCATCACGATGACTCGCACCAAACAGAACGTGTTCTTTCGTTCCTGCACGTTCAAGGCGACGCTCCTTTGAAAACGCTTCTGTGAAAACACCTAAAACCTGCCTCCAGGAAGGGAAGCGGTGGGCTCTGGCTCCTTACACCGCCACATAAACTGAGCCACCCCCCGGGAGCGGCAGGAAAGGACCGCCGCGTGGGCACAGGGAGACGGCCTCGTCACGTTTAGCTTGGACGGTCTGCGTTGGATTTACGAGCTGCAGGAAGCGCCATCACTGGTTCAGCACTCCAACTTAAACATGGAGAGAAACGTGATCCTGCCGAGGACGAGCCTAAACTCGTCTGCTCTGTCGCCAGACGTTCAGCTGCACCTGCAGCTTCTCCTTGGTGGTGGTTTCTAAACTTTAGAACAGCCTCTCGTGAATTAAAGACGTACGACTTCTTAAAACAAACGACCACCCCAGTAAAACGTACACGTTCTTCATGACCCCCCCCACCAAGGGCAGAAAGGCGACTAAACAATAACTGGATTCACATCTAAAATTGACCTTTGGAGTCAACCAAATTCAAGATGGCCGACAAAGTTAGGCTACCCGAGCGAGAACAAAAATGGCCAGTTTTACAAATCCAGAGATAAAATTTGGCGTGGTGATAGCTGAGAGTCGCTCCCGACACGCGCTCTGAGCTTGACGAGATCGTCTGCTGGGGTTAACTGTGCCTGTTAGCAAAATATCCCGTGAGCCAGTGAACGAACTTTAAAAGTAAATGTCAACAAGAATGTGACGTTTGGCACATTATGTGCTCATCGACTATCACACAGCAACGGCCGGACAGGAAAAGACCTTGTATGACCTTGATTTATGACCTTGGGACTGGGGTGATGAAACGTGTGACACTCCATCTAGTGACGATGAGTTGTTCTAAAATGATCTTCAGCGTATCAGAAGTTTTGCACGGGACATGGTTTATGGACAGAGTCCAGTGTTTCCCCTGGGTCACTTCCCTTGGCAGGGTGCTCATCTCTTTGACTGGGGGGGGTCTGGTGCCGGCGGTCGTCGGCTGGGGGGTGGGGGAGAGAAGCTTGTAGATTTCTAGCTAATGCGTCTGTATTGTGCGCCGATAACTTAGCACTACACCAGTGCCATGCCGTCTGACGACCATGGGGGGGGGGCCTTCCAGTAGGCGGAGTGCTCGGCTCTGGTGACAGGGCGGGGCTCCTTGCTGGAAAACTGCAGGGGAAACACTGGAGTCTAACTATAAACAACTGCCTTTGACACAGGAAGTACCGTAATCACCGGGTGCACATCCACGACTAATTATCAACGGGAGCCAAACCAATTCAAGATGGCCGCCACAGGCAACTAAGTTTACGAAACACAGATTAGCTAAAGCTCAGTTTTACAAACGGAAGTAAATTTGAAGAGGTGGTAGCCGAGTTATTCCAAGATTTAACCCAAACGTTTCAATTTCACCATTCCTCAACGTGAGAAGATGCCAGGAGCGACGCACTCCTTCAAGACCTTCATCTGAACTGTCCCCACATTTCAACACTTTCACTTTAGATTTTCTTTATAAACAAGTTTATCGAGGTTTCTGTGATTACGCCTCGTCCTCACTGCACCTTAAGCAGCAAGTTTGTTGTTGCTTCATACGTAAATTAAACTCGCCTGAAAACAACCACAAAATCCCTGGAAGTGTCGTTAGAGTCGGCCGTCTCGTTAAAGCACATCAGCTTGACCGAACACTTCGGTTCAAGGGAAAGAACGGCTTCAGGTGCTTTACAGGTGCAGTGGCTGAAAGGAGCTCAGGAGGTGCCGTTCAGGTACGGCTACGGACCAATCCTGGAAATAATGCTGTTCAACCAGTTCCTTACCAAGGCCAGCTGCCGCCCGATGTTCCCCATGGTGATGACTCCAGCAAAGAAGATGCACGGGAGCCAAGAGCGAATGTAGAGGAAGTCTGGAGACGTATACCTGAGGAGAGAGATGACACCTCACACCAGGACGCCATGAAATGTTCCGTCTTCATTACAATCTGAAGTCGGCTTGGACCCTTGACCAAAACAACAAGCCAACGACTGAGTGACGATTACCAAAACACAGCCCCTCCACCCCGAGACCTGACGTCCAGAAGACCTTAATCTGACATCCAGAAGACCTTAATCTGAGACCTGAC